CAACTAAAGTGAGTTCCTACTCGTTTGGCGGATCTGAATGAACATGATCACAGACGTTAACAATGTATCGAATTTAAATTTAATATTCTGTTAACACGAATGACTTAACATCACAAAACGACATTGGAGTTTCGGGGCAAACGCATCGCGACTCACCATGAGCAGTTGCGATTTGCTGATGGACCCCTCAACAATGCCGTCCATGAGTCATGTAAAAAGGGGTTTAAAAAGTGGGCACCGACATCGGCAACTTGCCGACAAGCAGCACGCGATCCTAATGTATTCTCTCTCTTTCACTGATGGAATTCGTTGAGCGCATTCTGTTCTCTTTGCGTCTAGTTTTTTTGAAGGCCAGAGGCACCGACTGTTAGTGAGGAATGTCTTTTCTAAGCGGCACCTCGGGTGTGAAAAGATGGTCTAATGCTCTGACCGATTGTGTGTCTCGTAACCTGACTACTCTCAAATACCGATCAGAGCTTGATTCGCTGCCTTTTCACGTCCGACTGACTTCCGCTAAATACTGCTTGTACTCCATGCTCTGAAGTGGTTCGTCAGGTGGTATCTTATCATTTTTGTGACAGAAGACATCTCGAGAAAGAAGGTGGAGAGATAGGTCCCGATAGTGAATTCTTCTGTCGGATGTAAGGGTAAGATCAAGTCTACTTTCAAACCTTCGCTGATGTCCACGAAGACCATCACTGTGTAAATCAGATTTGGCGGCAGCCAACTCTTCCCACGAGCAAGTTTAATCTAGATTCACACTATCAGATATCAATTTCTTAGTCCACTTATGACAGTGCCCAGTTTAAGGTTTTTTCCGGGAATCGCACCCGGATGTCTGTGTGTGTGCCAGTTCGAAGCCGATGCCTCTCTTTATGTTTCGTATGCGTATACGTATCTGCTAAGTGGCGTTAATCAATTTTACTGTTATCACTTCAGTGAGTTTGCAGCTTCCTTCGATCTCCATCCATCAGCTACCAATCAAATGTCGTCTCCGAGGTGAAGGCAATTTTATTAACCAGATCTCGTATTGTTTTGGTAGAAAGCCCACCAAAACAATCCCTTGTGTATACCTTCGCGATGAACCGTACTGGTCTTATTTCTGGAATAAAATTGTGATATTTTTGCTCGGCCTTATTCAAACTAGTTTTGTGATGTATTGCCGAGTAGAACGCAAAGGGTGTCTCTTGGGGATTCATCCTAAATGCATGAATATACTCAACCGTCACCATCAACTCGTAAATTAATAAAACGAGCCCATAATTTTTAACATTAATCCTTTCTGGTTGATTCAGAAGGTAACTTTCACTAACTCAATTTTTGACGCAATCTTGAGTCCCACTGACTGATCAACCTTTTCAAGGACGTGGGTTGATTGGCTAATTTGGTGAAATTGAGGCATTAAGTTGATCAGGTAATTACACGAGGCAGTGGCTGAGGAAGATCATCTTTGAGTTAGCATCGGCCATGCCTAGTCTCCCAAATTAAAAAGGGAACATTTGAGCACATTAGGGCAGGAGTTGGCAAATCGACATTATTCTGCCTGTCAATGGTTTCAGCTTTTAACCTGAATCACTGTAAACTTCACATGTGGAGGTCGCTTTGCTTTGAAATTTTATAAACCGCTGCTTTTTCCCTGCTTTCAAAGTTGGCTCGACCTCTGAGGCCAGGTTGGCACTCCAGAGGCGTTTAAGTAAATCTTTCCCAACTAATCTCGCCGATTTAATTTCAGCAAATCGATGAAGTTCGATCAAAAACGGTTGGTAAATCTAACCTTGGTAGATTTTGAATGGGCCTGTTTTGTTGGACATATTTTTCGACGTGTAAATTTTACACAAAAGCAAATAGCAAGAAGAAGCAAATGATGTTTATCACCCCCTTCCCTACCTGTCCATCAACCACCAATCAAATTTCTCCATTTGGACTGAAGCTACATCCTTGCATTGCGACTAACGCAGAATGAAGATAATTGACGTTTCAGTGGAACTACCACATTTTCGTAGTAGTTGAATTAATTTTTCAAATTGCAGGTGGGAACATCTAGCTGCCAGCTTTCTTGAGTGACGTTAATTCTAGGAAAATGCGAATCTAGTAGGCTTCGTTAGTTAGTGGATGCATATCATGTTGCTAGTCGCATAAGGGTCAATTACCTAATGTGGGCATAATGTCGAACTTAAGATCAGTAATGAGTTGCCCAGATTAGCAAATTAAACGGTATCAGTTTGAAACCCGATTCATTTTTTCTTTTGTAAAGCCACAATTGATTAAACAGTGTTACAGGTAAATCTCTTCTCCGACACGTGACACTCCAAAGTACGGGCAAAGTCAAAAGTTGGATCTTTCATTTAGCCCATAAACACACGAAGCGTTACGCTGTCGCTCATGTGATATTCATGAAGCAACACAGGATAAGGGAGAATTGAAATACACACAATCTACAAGGCTGATTTATTAAGGCCAAAGTTTCGATTCTACGACGTGTGAACCCGTTTTGAGACGGCAATCACACAATGTCATGACAAGTGATCAAACGTGAGTTGAATCTAGAGATCACAATTTCAAGAATTCTATGGTGTCATCGAGAGATTGGACTGTCTAATTGGAGGATTTACCCTAACCCCGTCAGAAAATACGCGACGAAGAAGTATGTCAAACTGGTTTCAGTTGTCCTGACTTCATAAAATCCATTTTATACAATCCATCATCACAAACATTTTTCGGCTTCAATCTCTCTTTCTAATGATGAGACCTCCAAAACAACTAACACAGATGACCTTTAAGTAACCATTCGCCATACGTTCGTCTTGTTTATTAGCACAACAGAATACATCGATTTGGAACTTCCACTTTACCGATTGTCAGAGAATCAAACTCACACTCGAATCGATATTTTCCTGTTTTGCCAGGTGAGATGGTTAGGCATAACATTATTTGTGATAATGTGCGAAATATGGTCTGTGAATGTAAAGCTACAATGTGCTCTTTGGAAAATTGATGCATGATGGCAAACAAGAGTACTATTGGCTTCCGCTCACCGGTTCATGAAATTTACAGTCCACTTTGTCGAAAAATCGCAAATCAACTCTCAAAGTACCCGTCGAATAAGATCTCAACTGCCTTCATTAATGTTGAATGCTGTGCTAATCTTTTTGCTTGAAAGCAACCGAGATCCTGATTGTACAGTGGTCGCTTTACCTGGTTCAGCGTCATCGGTCTCCAAAACCAAATTAGTTCTGCTTAATGTCCATGTTAAAATCGAGCAATTAGGTCGAATGGAGGCTTTTAGATTGTCTGATTTTGCCTTGGCCTTGCGTATTGAATGAAGGCATTGCTGTGACTTCAAGTCATACGGTTACGAAGATTGGCACTCTGCTCAACCATTTCCTTCTTAACCTTGCAGCACAGAAGCCCTGATTTGTGTGACCGCAGTTTATCCACTGAACTAACACATTTCACAATGTCTAGTGTCCAGTTTCCTTCACCAGCGCGTTCAAAAGGCCCTTAGTTAGGTCTTTCATAGTCACATACGAGCCAAACTCGACAACACATTTATAGCTTAACTCTCTTAAGATTTCAAAAAAACCATTTACCTACGTCTACTTGAACAAACATCTTTGTTTGCATATCATTTGGCCATTATTTTAGAAGCTGCAATTTTGGTTGTTGAGTCTTCTAAAAACCTTATCTTGGATTAACGTGTTCACCTACGTCATGGTCCCAACACGAAGCACTAGTAACATCGTTTAAACCAATTGTAGACGACGCGGAATAATGTCAGTACAGCAGTAGATGGACTTGGTGTGGCACAAGACAGTGGTAGGCAATATTCACACTTAAACAAACAGCCCAGTCCCACGATATTCAGGTGACCTTTGCGCCCATAATGCGTGTGAACGCTCTGTGTCGGGAAAAACGTGAAGGCCAACTCCCTGCTGATGTCGTTTTATGGGCAACTTCTGCTTTGATGAAATATGGGTGTGCGTGTGTGTGTTTGGGTCAACTGCTTAGCATCCAAAGGACCCAAGTCAGACAACGAATTGACAAGATTTTCATTTCCACGTGTCAGCGTTCTTTTTACTTCTACACAGCCACTAGGCGCCTCTTATGAAGACATCTCCTGGCGTCCAAAGTCCGTACCTCCAACCTCTCTCTTTGCAAGATTACCTCGACGAAGCCAGATGTTTCAACCTCATTTACCATCCGGCCAGATGTTAAACGCTTAAAATTTCAGTGGTGTTGTGTTACTGTTGTGAAATGTAAGTCCTATATAACTTAGTAATTTAGTAATTTCCAAGTTTGCAGGACCTTAGAAATTAGCAATTTATGCGCGTTTTTGATGTTATTCGTACGAATATACCGATTAATAAGTAACAGCCAGAGAAGCCAATGACATTGCTAGGTATGAGGGTGGAATTTCGACAATGAAATACTTTATTCAAATGACTACATATAATTGGCTCTACATGATTTGATAAGCCTTCGAAAACCTAATGTAATGGGACAGTGGTCTGGTTTGGAACTCCTCTGAAAGGTTTAAATGAGAGCTGATTGGTCCCGGTGAATCATCCTTACCTTCAATTGGTCCCTATTTCCAAGTGCTCTATGAACACAATCAAGAACCTATTTTGTCTTATTCTTTCTTCTTAAATTTTAACCTTCCAAATGGCACCATGAAATTTGACTCCAATGCAAGCTCCTTTGAGGATTTTTTAAATACCATGTTGTTTAGGCAAGCAAAATTCACGATTGTCGCATTCGAAGTCACGTCCTAGTGATTCGTCCAAGATCCTAGCTTAAGAAACCACAAAAAGCGAGCTAACAAAAGTCAGATTTCTTCTGAAAACACTTTTTTACACTTAATCGACAATAAACAGACACTCAGGTAAACAATTTAACTGAAATTCAACTTCTCAAACACGCACATTGGGAGACAAAATGCAGGTTTTGGAACACAAAGGACAATTACGTCATAGTCATGTGATGTTGTTAGGCAATTTAGGTTACTTTCTCTCCTCGTCGAAACCCTCCCAGGAGTAGTTTGGACGCTTTTTTAGCACCCAATCGGTGTCGCGCTCAGAACAGACCTGGAGGCAGGCCTTCCAGGTGAAAAACCTGTTGTGTGTACCTCCGCATCCACCGTAGTAGAAGGGAAGACAGGAATTTGTTCTGTAGTCGTAGTAGTAGTTTCTGACGTAGGCCCGACACGGCCCTGGATCTTTGGGTTCGAAGCAAATAGGGTGACGCTCACCTGTATTTCGAAAAGAGGCAAATCAGACAACTCACAAATGCACACAAAAATACCTTCTACTTCAACAAGTCCATCGAATCCAGGCCAAAATTTTCATTCCACACTTGCGTGTTCAAACGATTCTCGTAGTTCTTTCAAAGGGGACATCTTTTTTAAAACTTAATATTTGCAAAAACAAGGGAAAGCTCTTGACCTTCTTGGATAGGGCACGGTGGAACCCACTGATATTTTATTAATCTAATTTTTCGGTGACTTTATCTCACAACCCGATCCTAATCCAATCGCAAGAATAAATCATTCTTTTCCTCGTTTTAAGTTGTGAGTTAACTATGTAAAATTGAGTGACACACCGAGCAAGGTTTCAAAATTACTTCAAGGATCAGGTGCCTACACGCTTTGAACCTAACCAAAGCGTGGAGAACATTGCAAGCAAGGAACTCACCCTGGCAGAAGGCAACAACGAAGCTGAAGGCGATGAGAAGGAGTAGCATCTGGCTGACTTCAGATGAATTCGCTTATCGCTAGTGCGCTAGTAGCCGGTTTTATACTTACAAGGCCGGAAGTTAAATTATCCGCCAAAACCACCCACTCGGCTCACTTGGCGCATATTTTGTTGACAATTATCTTTATATCGACGTGTTTGCTTGCAACTATCAATCTGGCAAACATCCACTTCCGGTCAAGCAATGTTTAAGTTTGATGCCTTCGGTGCTAATGGGTTGGGGCAAATGAACATTCATTTTCTTTAATCTTGCAGTTGCAACAACAGAATTCAAATAACAGTTGGGATATACTAATTAGTCAATTAGCGTTCCACACTGAGCATTCCTACTGTGCCTTGCTAATTTTATAATACAGCTAGGCAGTCTAAAATGCAAGATGTTCTGTACTGGAATGTGGTACTAACAATTCATAGATGTAAGCTCTAATGGTTCAGCCTATAAAACAATGGCAGTTTCACGAAGAAATTCAAACAATGCACACAGGCATCTTCCCCGCTTCAGGGAGTTTTAATCTGCGGGGTCTAATAGCCTTTCCTTTCTTATTTATTGTTTACCACAAACAGTAAGTCATGGGACTTGCTGGTGGATAAAACGGGTCACCAGCATGTGTTGTGTTAGTTGCGCTGACCCCTTGTCCAAATTCCAGGCCCGCGGAAACTTCAAAGAAAGCTGCCGAGATAACAACAGAGCATTGGAATTATTCCACACTAGGAGTAGTAGGAATGGAAGTTCAAACATAAGGTTGAATGTATTTCGGTGGAAAGACATGGTTGATGGTGTAAATTTGGGTTTAACACGGTTAACTTGACACGAGTGGCTGTAACCTGGTGTCAGCCAATCGACATCGCCCCATTGATTTGTCGAGGGTAGATCACGGCGTTGTTGGCATGTCCCTGCTCAATCACCCAGTTTTTGCATCTTCTGGTTTCAGTGATAATGCAATGAACCATAAACCCTGGTTTGTGCCCATAGACCATCTTCTGAACCTGATCCAGATGGTTAGAAACGGTCGTGTGGGTGCAGTTCGTTCGCTTGATCCAATTATCCCTTAATGGATGGGGACCAGTTTCGTTCAACAGGGTGCTCACATGGTCCTTACTTAAGTCATATGAGTGTTTTGGCATTTGACAAGCGTCGCCTTCGTTGATGTGGCACTATGGTTGAATATAACTAGAATTGGTGTCGACTATGAGGATACAACCAACTCAGCACTCTTGTACACATAAGAACTTGCGTCAGCATCTCGTAGGCATATTGGCGCATCACAATCGTGGCACTAGTCAAAGGCATCCACACACGCTGAAGACGACGGTAGTGACATCCACAGTCCCCTAGGTGGTCCGTATCGTTACCTTCACTGGCATCTCGGGAGGCTTCGGTGACTCACCACTGCAAGAATGAAAATTGGACGAGAGCTCCCATTAATCAACACGAATCATACGGATGCAGGATACCAGTTAAAGTCTTAGTTCTAGCAAATACGATAATGAGACTTGAAGCTGAGATTAAGGCAGGGGTGCAAACGACAGTTAATGCAGGTAAATCAAATTGACAGGCATCTGTAGTTTCGTCAGATGGGAGATTTATTTACTTGAAGGAAAAAAATTGTTTCATATATTCAACAACAGACACTCATTATGAGAAGTCTGTAATTTTGCACTGGTTTTGGACAATGCACCGATTAAGTGGTTATTTGTTGCATGGCAAACTGATTGCGTAAGCATCATGCTTGCGACACAATAAACGCTAGCATTGAAAAAAATCATGATAATGATTAAGCGTTCATGCCTGTTTAGTATAATTGACGCATGATTCGACAAAATCATGGGACAAATATCTCTATTTTGACTGGCCTGAGGTGATATATAATAGACTGAGCTGAACTAACGGGTCTTTCCAATCTCATATCCCTACAAACTTTCCAGCGATCAGTACTGCCAGCGTCCCTCATGGGTGTCAAACGAATCAAATGGAGGCTGTGGAGGTGGAAGCTTGCATTCCTTTGACTTGTAGACACAATCACCGATACCAAGTTTAGTGAAATCTGATTATTCCAACATGTGTAATACCTCATTTTAATACAAATGTAATGGCCTGCGTAGAGGCAGGCTGATTAAAAGAGTGCCATCAGAGTAAGTGGGCTGGCACATTGCCCGTTGCTCCAAAATACCCAAAGGCAGCAACTTCGGAAGTGATTGTGCGACTGAAAATCAGATAGGAGAAATTGATAATGAACACAGATGACCTCTACAACTAACTGACGATGTGCAGAGAATGAAAAGTTTGTGGGATGACGTGGTCGTCGACTGTCATTAGGTTTCATGAGATGTACACAAGACTGCAACCAAATGCGCTTGAGTTCGATTGCTTGACATAGTTTAGTGATGCGACTGACTGCCTCAGGGGACATAGAAGTGGTAGTAGATGAGTAAAGGACTAGTGGTTATCAGCTTGAGTCTTCCTTCCTCTATCGGTTGCGCTGTGTATGAGTTGACAAATGGTCCCGTGTTCGAGTCCCACAATGAGGCTTTTTAGAAAAGTTTACGAATTGAACACAGATCATTTGATTTACCACTGTGGATTAGTCAAATATTTTATAAAACCTACTTTTGTCGTCAATGTCCCGATTTTTGATGCCCTATTAACCATTTTTTTAAATCTTGCTAAGACAGAAGATTTTTTGACCCCAATTGGCAATCTAGTGAAATTTACCTGACAATTAGTTGACTTCTAGACAATCACCTGGTTTCGGCTATCCACAAAGATTTTATTTAAGCTAATCAAGAGTTATATAAATGAGAACTACCAGAATTTTTTCGAAGTAGGTTTGGACGATTTAAAAATGTCACTATATTCATCGGTCACTATTTTTAGAGGAAAAACAGCTTAACGAAAACCATAGATTGAGCAGGCGAACAGTCCCGTAAAACGAATAGATTACCAAAATTGATTTAAGGCGTTGGTCAAGCAGGTTTCAGAAAAGTCAATCCTTACATGATCTGGCTAAGACAAAACTTACTTAAACAAAGCCAAAAACAAGTGTTTAGGTTCATTCTTGTGATGTAAAATATTCTCGTTGTCGAACATAGGCCACTTAAAAAAATCAATCTCTTAACCAAAGCGTAACCTTGAATTATTAAGTTCATGAATAAGCTAACTACAGGTAACCAAGAAATGAGTTAATTTAAAAACTGTTTCATTCAAAAACCTACACACATGCAAATATGCATAGCTCCAGTCTATGTTCATTAATATCGATTTTCGTGATTTAGGAATCGTGCAACTTTTGAATTAAGTGTGATAATGCTGATTAAATATTGTATTTCATTTTTGCAGCCCAATTGTTAAATTCCGAGATCACTGTAAACACAACTACCTGCCTGGTTGACGCAGACAGAAGACCTTTAAGGTTTTTGTAATAGTTGGTGTTCAAGTGAGAGCAGAATAGAATCAACAACACCGTTGAATTTCTAGCACAAGATCTTAATGTTACTTACCTGACACGACGCTGTGTTTGTCTATCCATCGGGTCCATCAAAAGAGTGAAAAAGGCAGCTAAAACTGTCCACTAAAGTTGTCTTTTGGCAAGGTGTCAAACTCGAGATTTTTTCCTTCCTAAATAAAATTTTGGCGTGGGCGATGCGTTTGGAATGCGCACACGGAAAAAGTCTCCAAAACCACCCATCTACTGCCAGATGGGCTTCAGCTGGGCCCGCTACCCACTTCTAGCGGTCGAAGACAGAAGCGCCCTCAATAGGTGCCATCGGCCACCCACGACGAAGCAACTGGCTCGACAATGCTCTCCGAGAGGTTGCGGCTTGCACCCTCCCAAGCATTTTTAACAAAAAAAACACGTTTAAGCTCTAGATGGTACCTGGTCATGTGCAGCCACACTCGAGGTCATTAATTGACCTCTGGTATTGATTTGACTCAAGACAAATCGGAGTGATGGTATAGAGGGATTGCGCTAATAGCAACGCTATAGAAAGTAATTATGTTTTGCCATCTGAGCCATTCCATGGGGCGAAATTTGTTTTGAATTAAAACAAAGAAGCGGTAGATTGAAGCAAGAGGCTTTATCAACTGCCACTTTTGTTATTCACAAATTAAAGAGAGAGCGAGTGAGGGAGAGAGAGAGACATTTTCGTCCGCATGTTGTCCTTTTTTTCTCACTTTCACAGCAAGAAAGAGCACTCAACTGAGATCTCATGAAATTGCCTCTCTCTCTCTTTCACCCTCCCTGTTAGCGTTAATTCGCTGCGCTCGGTTTTCGCTGGCGCGGAATTCTCATTATTCTAATTAAAATCCAGTGACTGGGGGCGGCTGGAGGGAAGACAGTCGCCTCAGTCTGGCTACTTGTACACATACCAAATAAGAAAAAACCAGAAAAAAGTCTAAATCTTATTTTGCCGTACCTAGCTAAACCGTGCAAAAGCCGCGACGGGCTAATGAGACTGCCCCAGTGCCGAAACAGCGGAACAGTGTGACCCTATATTATCACTACTTAGTTGAGAAAGAATGGTAAAGCTGTCACTACATTTCACTTTATTGTAGATTTTGGCAAGCCCAAACATTTCATATAGATTCGAAAAACAACCAATCAGATTTTACAGTAGTAGATCACTCAGCGTGGTCCAAAAATGTGAAACTATAGAATCACTCTGGATGTTCTGGCATTTTCTGAAAAAAATACTCAGTCATGACCAATCAACTTCAGACTAACCCTTAACTGTAAACCATTTTCTGATTAGGCATTGCTACACAAATGGATAGTGAATTAAACCGATGGAGTTTAATAAGAAACAGTTGTCGCATCTTTTGGGGCCTCAAAATCGTTTCCCGGAAACGGGTCATTTCCGAACGAAACGTCCTACTTCAGCTAACCAAACAAAAAGATACTGAGGTACATGAGGAATTTTCAGTGATCTTTGGGCCAAACATAAGAGCTTCATGGTTTGAATGAGTGCCAAGATTGGCATCGGTTAATT